AAATGTACAAGTTCCATCAGCTGTACATGGAGATGAGCGCCACCGGTAGAGAGATGATCGGAGCGAGGATCAGGGACACGGACTTCTTGCAAGGAGATGACATTCTCTGGATCAATTTCAGGGGAATCTACGAACTATACCAGCTGGACGCCCTCGACGTCTCTATTATGAGTTGCTGGATTTTGTAAGTATATCGTTCAGTTAGATTTCTTACTTTACGTCTCCTTTAATTAATTAGGTCCTTGTATATAAGTAGACCATAGAAAATAATATACTCCCTTTTATCGTTGTAGAATGGAGATTCAAAGGGCCCGACGGCGGAGGGTTTTCGATACTGGATTCATCGACCCTCGGAAAGTAAACGTCGCAATGCTCGACCAATATCCACAAGAAACAGAGGACAATCTCGTCCATCTCCTGAAGGCGCAGCATTACAAGACGTTCATACTGCTGCCATACAACACAGAGTTAGTTTAATTTTACTGTCTTCCTACATACCAAATTTCATTCCCGTACGAACTTGCTAAGTGTTTCATATGTAATGCATCCCACGCACATTGCAGATTCCACTGGGTGCTTTTACTCATCGACCTGGAGGCCTGCACCGTCAACGTATATGACTCAATGGATAAAAAAGAGTCTACGTTTGACAAGGTTTTCGAACTTATAGACAGGTACCGTCATAAGTTCCTTTGTTAGTTAAGAAAATCTTGTTATGTTAATTGCTACTACGAATCATAGCTTACAACTCCATGTAGGGCTTGGTATCGGTTCCGTCATTTGGTCGCGGCAAATGGAGAGAAAGACTTAGGCGGAAGTTCAAATTTCCTGTGAGTACACATGCTCTACATTTATATTTCTCCGATTCAAATACATACAAGTGTATATTAATTAGATCTCTCGTTGTTTGTCATTTATTTGTAGTGCGCAAAGCAAAAGCAGGGAACTAACTTGTGCGGCTATTACGTGTGCGAGTATTGCCACTGCCTTGCAGACCAAATCATCACCACAAGAGAACTCGATGTACGTACAAATAAATTCAAAATTTCATTACGTAGCGATTTCTTGTTTAATTACTAATCAATTTCATACATTCATATAGTTTATTCGCATGAGGGATAACCTGACCACACACAAGGAATTTATCGCGGCGGTTCAAGAACAACTCATGGGATTCATCAACGAAGAAATCCTTGATCCCAAGGGTGAATTCTACTACGACGGAAACACAATTCACCGGTCCTTAGCTTCTGAGCTAGCAGCGAGTACTACTACGTTGAAATCGTAGCTAGCTAGGACATATAATGGATTGTAATTAATACATGACTACATATGTTTCTATATGCATGTGTACACATTTTCTATAATGTAAATATATTTTGTTCATATATATATCTATATACATATGCATTTGCATAACATATATATGTATAAATACATATATATTATGCATGTATATACATATAATATAATATAATATATATATATATATATGTATGCATATATATGTATTGAAACATATATATGCATGGTTTATATATATATATATAAACCATGCAGCAACAGGGGCATGCAAAAAAAAAAGGTCAGCTCGATCTTTAGTCCCGGTTGGTAACACCAACCGGGACTAAAGATGGCTCAGCCGGCCACGTGGCTAAGCCATCTTTAGTCCCGGTTGGTGTTACCAACCGGGACTAAAGATCGATCTTTACTCCCGGTTATTTCACCCGGGACTAAAGATAGCGATGTTTAGTCCCGGATTGGTACTCCCGGTTTGGAAACCGGGACTAAAGGGGGGTTACGAACCGGGTTTGGAAACCGGGACTAAAGGGGGGTTACGAACCGGGACTACAAAGGGTTTCTCCACCAGTGACCTGTCGCACAAGCAATCCACATAGCTATTCTGGTGGGCCATCAGAGTGAGGTGAGCGGTTCTGACATAGGCTGTCTTTAGTTCGGAGGTGAAAATGTTTGTCCGGTCACATCAGATATACAGACACATATTTGAAGTATTAAACGTAGTCTAATAACAAAATAAATTATAGATTCCGCCTATAAACTGCGAGAAGAATTTATTAAGCCTAATTAATCCGTCATTGGCAAATGTTTACTGTAGCACCACATTGTCAAATCATGGAGCAATTAGGCTTAAAAGATTCGTCTCATAATTTACACGCAACCTGTGTAATAAGTTTTTTTTCTATATTTAATATTTCATACATCCCACATTGTCAAATCATGGAGCAATTAGGCTTAAAAGATTCGTCTCATAATTTACACGCAACCTGTGTAATAAGTTTTTTTTCTATATTTAATATTTCATACATGTGTCCAAACATTTAATGTGACAAGGTGAAAAAATTTACCAATGGATCTAAATAGGCCCATAGTGAATCTTCCTAGGATTTACAAATGTATCACAAAGAAATTAATAGTCAAAATTGGATCATAAGAATTTTATTTTGTTGACATTCAAAGTACGAATATTCTTCAATTCTAAAAAGGTAAAAATGAAATTGCTCAATCCTCATCAAACTCCTCACTACTTACCATTTACATTTTCCACACACAACCATAACTGTATAAATAATTGAGAAGTATATGTCTAATGTTGTATTAATAAGTAGCTAAGTTATACGAGTGTGACTCATATCTTGTTTCCGATTTATATGTTTATTGTCGATGCGAGAGACGATACATATGACACTGACCATGATTACTATTATGTTCCCGCAAGGTGTCATATATTTACTGCTTATTCTTATTCGCAGGCAAGATAGTACACAATATATATTTTCATTTAAAATTATCTTCACCCGTTGGGTTTTTTTTTTCTAGTGAGATAAAAAATAACGAATGACTTAAATTCAAAATTACAACATAATTTATACAAAATTATATATATTGTAAAACATTGTAATTACACCGTAATTTTACCACTTCTCTCTTTTCATCATTCCTATAGTTGATGTAAGTCATGACTCTCATGAGAGGAACAACATAAAAACTCGTTCAACCAGCGCACAGACTTGGATGCAAACACGGAGCAACAATAGAAGAATCTCGGTAGAATCCAAGGATTAAAAATCATCTAATTTTGATGGAAAATCATTTTTCCACCGAAAACCAATCCCTTGCAATTTCGTTGATAATTAAAACCATGATAACCGAGCAGTTGTTGATGAAAGACTGTGAAAATTAGAAAAAAATATCAAAAAAATAATTTTTGGTATAAATATTTTTTGAAGGGACTTTGTAAGTCACTCACTTGTTTTGTTAAAGAAAAACCAATCGATTTTTTATGGCCAGGATCTCATCAAGATTCGTGCTAGAAAGTAGTGATATTTCACTGCCTTTCATCGATAATCGCTCGGACATCATGGTTTTTAAGGGACTCTTTATGTCACTCACTTATGTTGTTAAAAGAAGAATCAATTGGTTTTTGAATTATGACCAGGATCTCATTAATATTTGATTAATATTTGTGTTAGGAAGTAGTCTTATCCCCTTCAACCTCTCGCTACACATGTCACCTCCCGATTTCTCCCCCATCTCCACTAGGGACTTGTTCCCTCATCCCTAACACTCCTCACCTTTCTTCTAAGGGCCCCTTTGATTTGTAGGAAAAATATAAGAATTTTAGAGGATTTCAATCCTATGGAAAAAAAAATCCTATGAAGACATTTGAAACAAAGGATTGAATCATATCCAATCCTTTAAAATTCCTATGGAATGGGTAATCCTATGCACATTTTGGAGGAAAGTTAGTAATAGGTCTAACCTCAACATTTCCTTTGAGTCTATCTCTCTTATCTGATTCCTGTGTTTTTCCTGTGGTCCAATCAAACGGCCATTCCTGTGTTTTTCCTGTGTTTTGCAATCCTCTGTTTCACAATTGTATTCTTGTCAAAATCCTGTGTTTTTCCTATTCCTCTGTTTTTTCATTCGTACGATTCAAAGGGGCCCTAAGTGGATTCACTACTTACTCCAAGGTTGTGTTTAGTTCACATCAAAATTGGAAGTATGGTTGAAATTGGAATGATGTGACGAAAAAATTGGAAGTTTGTGTGTAAGAAAGTTTTGATGTGATGGAAAAGTTGGAAGTTTAAAGAAAAACTTTGGAACTAAACACGGCGCAAGTGAGTTGTCATCATCTTCCAACTCTAGCAACATGCCATCACAATGTCAGCCTCCCTTGTCTCCAGTGAAGAGCGCCACTAGATCTAGCCCCTGCCATCTCCTAACCATTACATGCTTCCTGCCACATTGCTCTATGCCCATCACCGGTCTTCTACCACTCCTCTTTCCTAAACCAGCTACTGCTCATTGCTACAGTCATCAGAGCTAATTACAAAGCTTGCTAGAGAAAAAGATAGAAAGCTCAAAACTTTGTTTGTTTTTAATGAAAAATAGTTCGCTGATGCTTAGCAAGTCATTGTGTTTGAATTTAGGGCTTGTTCGAAAGAGTTGTTGCAACGTCCAGCTGCACTCTGCAGAATCGTTTAAAGGATTCCTAACGATTAAATGTACACTTTTTAAAAAAAACTTTTTATATAAGAATTTCTTTTTTTTTAAAAAAAGAAATAAACATTTTTTTCTCAAATTCATAGTAGTAGTCAATATATTTACTATACGCTAATGACATTGTTTGTTCTTTTCACGTTAGGAGAAAAAGGAATGGCAAAAGCAAAATAACATCTTTCAAACAGGGCCTTAATTAGCTTTTTATCGCGGTTTGTAAAGCTCCACATAGAAGTAATCTGAGTAACGTGAATAGTCTAGTATGATGAGATGAGACGACGCCCCTTCGAGTGTGGCAAATCAAAGAAGTGGAGAGAAATTGGCGTCAAGGGCTCCGAGTGCCGTGCCGTAGATACATATCGGATTATCGGTGAAAAGTGCCCATATATACCTGAGACTGGGGTATAGGCGAACATACACAAGCACAGACGACGTACCCGGATTGAAATGGTACACCGCAATTCAACGCAACATTAAACTTTCCGTCAATCAAAAGTCAAAACTGCATACGCATTTGTCTGATGAATATTATTCAGATCAGAGACCAATATTTGTATACGCTCAAATCAAATATTCGAACATGTTGAAACATGCATATGAATTGAAATTCCGGCAAAACGGTGGCATATGGCAATCAATCCCACCAGCCAACAACACGGTCTTAGTACTTGGGCGGGTCGGAGAAGAAGCTGTTGATGCCGGGCATGATCTCGGGGCGCTTCCCGTCGATGAACTTCCTGAAGCCGTGCTGCGAGTAGCGCTTCCCCTCGTCGAAGTTCTCCAGCACACCGGCCGCCCTCTTCTCCTTCAACACCCTACAGGCCGGTACAGATCCATCAGATTTTTCCCATCCCAAATCACCACCACATCATCTCGAAGCAAACGATTGGTTCCCGTCACAGATCACGTCATCTCCAAGATGCATACGCATGGGTGCTTACCTGACTTCGGGGTTGCCGGTGATGTTGCGGACGAGCTGGCCGACGCAGATGGAGACGGCGACGCCGGTGGCGAGGAAGAGCGGGTACACCTACACACAGCAACCAAACATGGCGGAGAGCGTGAGAATTAATCTAGATCTCGTCGACTCTCGATCGGAAGCCGAACAGACAGATCGGGAGAGCACGCTCGTGGGAGATCGATACAAGGAAGGGCGGAGCGCGCCGCGCGTAGTACTACATACCTCGGGGCGGATCCACCTCTTCCAGGCGGCGGAGGACGCAGCGGCGGCGGCCATGGCTGGCTTGCTTTGCTGCTGCTTTTCTTCTTGCGGCGCAAGAAGGCGAGGCGAGGCTAGGAGAGACCTCTGGCGCTTCCGAATTTTCGGCGAAACGCGTTGGCTTGCTCGCTGGCGGATTATATAGGCGGTGCGCGGGTGGGGGCCCACGGGGTGGGGTAGGTCGAACTCGCGTTTGGTGGTCGTTCCTCGGGTGGGCCGAGACGAGTCGCGGAGTCGTACGCGTGACGGCGCGTGTGAACGGACGGAGCGGAACGAACAGCGTGCATGTGGGCACGATCATCCGGGGTTGGGTTTCTTTCACGTGCCGGAACTGATGAACAAAGGTGGGGATGAATAAATGCGCCCCGTTTCTGCGGGGGGAATAACAAACGGGCACCTCTTGCAGATGCCGGCGTGATGCTTCTGATGGCTTTGCACTTTTGATTTGTGAAATGGGGTAGCAAATTCGTACACGGCATTACTGTTTTTCTTTAATCTCGGATAAATAGTTATTTCTCGAGTTTTACTTTTATTAAAATGAAATATATTTTTGTAACGCGATTTATGACTGTACAACTACCTTTTTCAAAAACTACGAGAGTATAAATACTCAGGTGAACTTTAAAACCAATCCATGTTTAACTCAACTCAAGGCAAAATTTACTACAGGACACCGAAAGATTGCGGCCTTTGCTGTAAGACACTTAAAGATCGTGTATTTACTCGTGGACACTGTAAAAATGTGGTAATTAACTGGCGGACATCGGCCGCATTATTTTATTATTTCCGGTAGAAACGGAGAGAGAAACTTTGATTAAAGACAAGTTTGCCCATGGGCCCACTTGTCAATCTCCCTTTCTATGATCATCTTCTTCCTCTCTTTCTCTGTTCATCTTCTTCACCTTCTCTCTTTCTCATTGTGCCGCCACCGAGCTCCGCCGTGGCCGAGCCATCGTGCGTCGTCGCCGTCGACGGTGAACCTCGGCAATGCGCCGCCGCTGCCCCGCCGTGGCCGAGCCGTCCCAGTTGCGAGCCACGATGCGTTGCCGCCGCCGCCGCGGCCGAGCCGTCCACCAAGCCGCCCCGCCACCGCTCGGCGAGGACGAAGAAGCCATCGACAAGTGTGCGCGCTTACTGGGGCTCATCTCGCCGGAGAGCTTGAAGACGGGGGACTTCTGTGGTGGGGATTGGAACATAGGGTTGGTGGGGGCGGCAGCGCCTCCGCGTGCTGGTGACCATGGGTTCGAGGTGGGACGAGGCGGAGAGGTCAACGAGAAGGGCAAGGAGCACACCGACGAGGGAGAAGAGGCCGGCGAAGGGGAAGTCCTGCCAGGGGTGTCACGTGGCAACGGCGTAGTCGGCGGTGGCGGCGCTACCAGGCGTGCGCCGCGCCGGTGGCGAGACGCCGGTGCTGATGAGTGGCACGAGGCACGACGCGATGGCGATGGTGAGGCTGACAAAGGTCAGGATGTTGTTCGTGCGGTGCCGTGGCGGCGTGAGGCACTCGCCGGAGGAGTCTGCGCTGGACGACGACGTCTGGGCCGCCGCGAGGAAGAAGGGGAAAAGAAAAGAAGAGAGAGAGGAAGAACAATGTCAAAGGGTATTTTGGTACTTACACAACTCTTTCTCTCTCCATTTCAACCGAAAATAATAAAATAATGGGAGGAGTGTCCAGCAGCTAATTACCACATTTTTACAGTGTCCACGAGCAAATATATGATATTTGAGTGTCTCACAACAAATGCCACAATCTTTCAGTGTCCTGTAGCAAATTTTGCCTTAACTCAAAATTGTTTGAACTGTGTAACAGCCGAAGGACTGAATTTTATGGTTGTTTTGGTGAAGTGGCATGTGGCATGAGGTAAAATATTTTTTCGTTTTTAAAAATAACAGTAAATAACTTCCAAAATTTTTCTCAATAAATTATGTTTAGCTTACGAGTTACGTACAAATAGATAAATCGGGTAAAATCTAAATAAATAATATTTGGCCTATAGAAAATAATTTTAAAAATTGGATAAATTGTCTTTTGTGTTTAATAAACTTATTTTTCTAAAAACAATTATTTTGATTTCACATATACTATTTGCCAATATGATAATTTTTATTTTCATTTAATTTAAAATCCAAATGCAATTCGAGGCTTAGGTTATATATTTGATATTTAAAAACTAATAATTGGACAAAACAAATTCTTAAAAATAAATGCTGCAATGGAATAAAGTTGATATTAGATATAGAAATGAGTCAAGGTCGTTTAAGATTACAGATTTTTACCTTCGTTTTCGTTAGCACACTTTTTTTTCGCCGAGAAAGGCCGAAGGAGGCCATCCGAGTATATTAAGAAGAAGTAAAGTTACAAAGAAAAACACGATAGAAGCTGTCGAGGACGGACATGCATGAGGCACCTCCAAGAACCACACGCTAACCACACAAGCACAAACCACTGAAAAATGGAACCGAGCACCAAACGACCCCCGCTAAGCGTGGCCGATCGCCGCCCGGCCTACAACAACATCACAAAGGCGAGACTCCAAAAAACGATGCCCCCAAAGAGGTCATGACATCAAGGACGCCGCCATCGCCCATCTAAGAAAGATGTGGTTTTCACCCAGAGAGAACTCGCCAAGAAAGGGGGAGAGGTACCCATGACAGCGCTCCCAAGAGGGTTACGACACCCGAAGGCGTAGCCGCTGCCGGCCTGGTGATCATCGAGCGAGGCTTTCGCTTGGAACCCCTGCAACCTTTCAAGTAGTTTGTCGCGCATCAACTTAGTGAACCACCACACAAGCATTGGCAGCGCGTGGCTTCCACCAAGACCGCACCGGTGCCCCTCCGCCGGCCGACTTCCGAACTTGCCGCAGAACCCTACTGCCAGCTCGCTGCATCCCACCGCTCCTCCCCTGAGAGCTGGCCCAGGCCACCTCCGTCCCGCCACCCGCCGGCCTCCTCGCCATGTTCGGCCAAAGGAGAACCCGGGACTAGACAACGTCGCTTCGGCCGCTTGAGCTTCTCCTGCCGACCAGCAGTCATCTCAACCCAACCGAAACTCCCCACAAAGAAGGGGAGGAGCTCAAGAAGGGAGAGGGTGCTGACCGGCAACGAGGAAGACGACGCACCGCCGCCAGCTCTCTTTGCACAACCGCTTCTCCTGTGAGCACTGGGACCGGACCTGCAACGCCAAATCCAGCCACCACTCGAGGTCTCCAACGCCACCACCGTCAAGCGTCCCAGCCGCTCGCCCGCTGCGCCTCCTCGTCGCTGGCAGCGGAAGCCAAGGCATGAGGCGCCTCCGACGCCACCGGCTGCGGCAGCCTCGGGGCGTCCCTCCACCGTCCGGCAGCCATGGTGGCCGCGAGCTGCTCCGGCCAGATCCGCCTGCAGCGGCGTCCACACCGGTGCCCCCACCACCACCCAGTCCCGGCCGCCGTGACAGCGCCGACACCCCTCCGGCCGCCGCGGCGACGCCAGCGAAACCACCGCCGCAGCCGCTCTGCCGCCGAGCCCACAAGGCCCCGAGCCGCCGCACCCTCGCCGTCGCGTCGCCGTACCGGCCAGATCCAACCTCAGAGGCGCCGGATTCACTGCCTCCCCACGTCGGCCCGCTGTCTTCGCCTTCGGCCGCTGAGGTCGCCGTCGTCGGCTATGCCCCATCCTCCCCACGCTGAGTTGGTGGCCTCCGAGCTTGAAAGGCCTCTCTGCCGCATTCCCAGCTTGCCGCCGGCGAGCTCTAGCGACGGCGAGGAGGAGGAGGGGGCGGGGTTGCGGCAGCGCGGGTGGCTAGGGTTTTCGCCCCCCGAGCCGCCCGCGCGAGAGCGACGCGGGGAAAGACTTCTCGTTAGCACACTTTTCAAACTACTAAATAAGTAGTACATTTTGTGTGAAAAGTTTCTATATAAAAGTTGCTTTCAAATATCAGATAAATCCTCTTTTAAAGTATGAAATAATTAAAACTCAATCAATCATGAACTAATGACTTTCTTGTTTTGTGTGCCTGCACCAATGCCTCTTGTGTGCTACTACCTCGGCCTTACAATAAGATTACTTTTGTAATTAATCTGGACACCAAGTACGAAGTAGTAGATTGCTAACACAACACTTCATCTATAAAGAAAAACCAATCCTAGGATAAATCTAGACATAGTGCATGTCCAGATTCGTATTTAGAATTGAACTTTTTTTAGACTGAGGGAGTAGATGTTTACACAACTGAATGAGCCCACGCCTTAGGTGGTTCAAGATATGGGTCCATCTTGTATATGGGAGAATGTAGGGCAATTGGCTATCTAACACATCACTAAGAGATCCGCTGAATTTCATCCCTAAAATTTTGGTTTGGAAAATCCTAAAGAGAATTTGGTATGTCGAAATAGTTATCCTTCAAAGAGATTGGTTAAAATCGATTTCCTAAAAGTAAGTGGGTTTCATTTTCCCTCCGCAAGATCACGTTTGCCCACGGCTCGTGATCACGCTCGTCCGCTTGTCTTGAGACGGATTGGGAGGGAAGCTGATTCCGTACAAGTGGAGAATGAAAAATCAGGATTTGGGAACTTGGTTTAGGCTGTGTTTAGTTCAGCGCAAAGTTTGAATTTTGGTTGAAATTGGAGATGATGTGACTGAAAAATTGTGTGTGTATGACAGGTTGATGTGATGGAAAAGGACGGAAGTTTGGATCCAAACTTTGGATCTAAACACAGCCTTACTGGAGAGCCAGTAGGAAATCTCTTGGAACCGATTTTTAACAAAAGTCCTCCAAATCTGGGATTGCGAACCATTTTCCGATACTGCTGGTGATACTCTACATAAACATGATTCGGAAAGTAATCATTTTAGGATAACCTCCTCCTGAAATCTAGCAAATGTCTGTGGGAAAAAAATTATATATGAATTTGAATTCATGGCATTTTGACTGGTAACCTCTAACCGGTAGTCCCAACTTTCAGGAGGTAACCGGTCAAATTCCAAGCTTGTGTAGCCTCGTGCATGTGCAATTTGTTTATTATGGGCGTGTTTAGATATATGGATGTAAAGTTTTGGCGTGTCACATCGGGTATTACATAGAGTGTCGCATAGAGTGTTCGTGCACTAATAAAAAACTAATTACAGTATTCGTCAGTAAACTGTGAGACGAATTTATTAAGCCTAATTAATCCGTCATTAGCACATATTTAGTGTAGCACAACATTGTTAAATCATGGAGCAATTATGCTTAAAAGATTCGTCTAGTAAAATTGTCGTAATCTGTACAATTAATTATTTTTTTTAGTCTATACTTAATACTTTATGCAGGTGTTCAGTTCTTACAGGGGTTTGATTATATACGGTACTATTGTTTCCTACTATATATCAAGGAGATTATTAAAAGATTCCTACATTATTGATATTTTGTGGTGGCCGAGGAAAACTTGGCAACCTCGCAAATGTCCAGCCTGGTTAGAAAGGAGTTCGTTCGCTGACTAAAACTGAGGGGAAGGCAATATAATATGTTTTATTTTCTTATAAGCCACCGACTTGCCCACTTGGCCTCTAGAACAAGTCATGTGTACATCATGCTTTCATGCATGCATATCTTCTAGAGGAGGAAAATGCCTTTTTCTTTTTTCCTTTTGGAAAATGCTTTTGACCTTTTGTGCTTGCATGTGGCCATTCCATGGCCAGTCCAGCTCCAAACATGCTTTGGCCGCTCCAGACAACATAGAGACATGAATGAGCATAGGTAAAATAAATTTGTTATATAATATTATATATATTGATAGCACAATCATATAAATACAGCGAGGAAACCGGCCAGCTGTGTATTTACAGCAGAACAGAACAATATTAGTTAGCTAGCAGTGTATTTCTTTTTTTTTTTACCTTTTGAAAATAAAAGGAATTACAGTGGAAATGATCATTCCTAGAGAAACAGACAGATATATGGACAAATATGTAAAGTAGCAAGTCCTAACATGGATATTCCCCATGTTGAAAACTTATTGTCGATTCATTCATTTATATATAGGCATTTTGAAGCCGAGAATCAAATCGATATATATATATATATGTACCCATCGAATAAGTATGACTTTTGCGTCTATTTTTTGGTTGAGGGGTTGGTGGGGTTGTCCAGGGCCTGCATGTAGTCGCGGCGCTTGGAGAGCCAGAACCTCCTCACGCCATGCTGGGAGTACCTCTTCCCCTCGTCGAAGTTCTCCAGCACGCCAGCCGCCCTGTTCTCCTTCGTCACCCTGTTCCAAACATAGTGTAAAAAACCGGACCGGAGAGGGACCCGGACAACCCCTCGGTTCACCGGTCCGATGGTCCGACCGGAAAACCGCAGGTTCAACCGCGGTTCAATAAATATATAAAGGTTGTATATTTTCTGTATAACTCAAAGTGGTGAATGACCGGATGGCTAGAGCCAAGTGCTCTCAACACACAGACCCACGTTCAAATCCCATGCCACCAGCCCTTTCTTTGATTTTTGAGGAAAAAAACAGTGGGCCTTAGTGTGGCCCATTTATATTCTACATCCGGTTTAGTGCAAAACCGGCCGGTTCAATCCGGGTCCAAAGACCTCTGGTTATGGTTTTTTCCAGTCGTACCGTTGATCCGGTCCGGTTTTTTCTACTAGGTTCCAACCATCCACAAGATATATATGTTATGCTTTTTTTTTTTTTACTTCTGAAAGTGAAACCATCCAAAAGATAGGGTTTTGTTTGTTGGTTAAAACTATTTTTGAAGTTCAAATATGAAAATAACCCCTTCAAAAAACTTATTTTTTTTGGTCTGGCCTTTTCATCGCGCCATCTTTATTGGTATAGCTGGTCAATATTTCTAAGATATATATATCTTTTATTTTAGTCCAGAAGCCAACCAGATAATTTAGAAGTTTATTATGGGGAAAACAAAGGAAAGGTGTGCCGGTTAGTCAAAGGAGATTTGGCTACTGCAGATTGAGCTTTAATTGTTTGATATTGGTCACAGCTGTAGCATATATGTGGAAATTAAATGATATTCAGAAATTTAATGATATTCAGATACGGGTGAAATTAAATGATATATTCTGGCTACAGGTGAAATTGAATGATGTTCTGGCTACAGGTGAAATTAAATGTGTTCTGCTACAGGACATTGGAAATCTTGGTTCTTAATTTGTTGCAGGACACCCCCAGGTAGTTTGAATATTTATCATTTTCGATTGATTTTCTAGACGGGAACTTTTTTTAATATACATTGCTCATGGTACCATGCTCTGAATATGATTCTATCGCTACCGTCTTGTTGGCTTGTGGTCGATCTTTTTCATCGGCCAATTTTGTCTAAAATCAACGGTAACTTTTTATTCGACACGGGTCATCTGTGGTGATAAATGGGGCAGAGATTTTAACAAAAATAGATTCAAGGCCAAAAATGAGCTGAGAATTTTCGAAGAATTAGTAGTAATATTCATGCAACTGAAGCCACTCGAACAACAGCATAGACCTTATTTAGATGGGGAAACTTTTTGGATTTGATTGTCACATCGGATATACAGACACACATTTGAAGTATTAAACGTAGTCTAATAACAAAACAAATTACAGATTCCACAGGAAACTGCGAGACGGATTATTAAGCCTAATTAATCTATTATTAGCAAATGTTTACTGTAACATCACATTATCAAATAATGACGCAATTAGGATTAAAAGATTCGTCTCGCAATTTATACGCGATCTGTGTAATTAGTTTTTTTTTTCATATTTAATACTCCATACATATGTCCAAACATTTGATGTGATGGCCGAAAAAGTTTTGTTTTGGGAAATAAAAAATGCGATGGAATTCAGAAGAGAGAACCTCTGAACCTGCATGGTATCGTGCAGAATTAGTAATATTCAGAGCAAAACATTTCGTACCTCACTTCCGGGTTGGTGGTGATGTTTCGCACCAGCTGCATCGCGCAGATCCCCACGGCCACGCCGGTGGTCGCGAACAGCGGGTACACCTGCACACACACAAACATATTAATTTGTACACCATCATCAGTTCATCATCGGGGACCAACAACACAAAAAGTACACCAACACTGCATGCATGCGTTCCTCTTGATCGTCTGTCTGATCAAGATCCTACAACATTTCAGGTCGTTCTCGCATCAAACACATCATGAAAGGAGAAAAAAAAGGGACATGGAGATGTTGGAGTTTTATATCGCATTTTGTCGACATACAAAATTTTAAACTGTATCCATTTTGATGGAAATTTTGCAGCCTGGCAAATCGAGACCTGTTCTCGCAATTCGATCACAGGGCACAACATAGATCAAGAGGAGCAAGAAACTAGCTGAAGAATGAGAATGCCGAAGTGGAGAACAACACTGATGCGTACCTCAGGACGGATCCATCGAGAAGCCATTGCTTTGATTTCTTTTCGTGTGCGTTGTTTACTAGTTTTTCTTTGCAATGGATATCGGATCACCAGGAGAAGAGAATAGGAGGTGTCCTAAGTTTTAACAACTGGTGGCTCTCCTGAGAACTAGGAATACTTTTCTACAATCGTTCTATTAATATCCATCGGGTTTAGGGGCATATCTTTTAGCCAAAAAAAAGTTTTGAGGCGTTCATTTTTTTTCAGAGTAGACAAGCTTCTATGATGATTTTTTTTTAGAGAAGGATATTTTTTACCCGGCCTCTATATCCAACCGGATATATACGGCCATTGAAATAGGAAACTTAGCCCCACAAACAACCCAATCTGAAATTCGCTCCATACGATATTTGAACTCAGTACCTTGGGGTACTACTCAGGTCAAGCTTCTATGATGTAATAATTGAAGAAACTTGAGATGTTTGATTGACAGTGGTGGCAAAAACAAAATGTGGCATATACACGGGATGAGGCACATAGGGTGAAGGAGGCCGAAGCGATGCTAGGTAAGCACTAAGCCGTAAGCAATAAGATTAATGTGGAATGGAAGTTTAAGATGTTACTTCTGTATGAAAAATGAGACTATCCAACTAAATCACCATCTTTCTCATATATGCAAGTAATTTTCAGGGCAACATATTAGCTCCGATCTTGGGCACAACTACAAAGGTGTGATGAAAATGGAGAGCTTCTAAAGGTTACATGTCATAAACTTGAGATGACGGTCATGCAACTTTTTGCCAATTATAGATGAAGATTCACAAACAAACTTGAATAATTGTGTGCTCTTTATCTTGGTTTGGTCGCTTTATTTTTACCTGAGTGTGTTTAATTTGGTTTGAACTACACTCTTTGTTTGAGTGATTCTTTGTAATAATTGGCTGTAGCTATATTGAGCAAAGGCCATGATATTATCTATTCCATTATCTAAAAATAAGGAGATATGAGCTGATTCTACTTCAAATAACGACACCAGTGCAAGACTCCTTTGAATTTCCCGCATTATATACTTTTTTTTTGTCTATACCTATCCTACACTATATGGAAGATAAAATTATACTAGGATAAGATTGATTTATATAGTAGTCTTCCTTGTCTGTAATTCTTCATCTCTACCCATGTATGTTCTATAAATACTACCCTGTGAGGTTTAATACAACGTATCCAATATTAAACAGTAATCATTTTTCCTATACTATACATGTGGAGAAATGATATTCTCGACAATATATGTAGCTCATTTTCATCCCAATTTCCATACTTAATGTGAGATTATTTCTTTCTTGTACTAGCCTCTCCGTTCCATTTTGATATATGCATCATCAGTTGCTACTTCTACATTGGCAGATATGTGTGATTGAGTGTAAGTACATAGTCCTTGAGTTACAGTTTTTACGATGCAAGGCATTGACACCATTACGTGGGATGTCATGGTAATCTTCTAGGACTAAGGGTGTATAATTAAGTGGCTAACCTATATGAACCCACTTATAGATCAAATAAGTGGGTAACCTGCCGGGTTAGCCACTTACACTCTTATCTAGGATACCATCCATTTTTTTTATTATGCAAGGCTAGTAATACATGCTATTCTTTTTGTTTGAGTTTGAAATCAATTGAAGTACCCACATCAGGTAGTAAATGGTTCTTTGAAAAAAAGTGGTTGTTCCAGAAACGACTTCGCATTGTCAAAAGTGGAATCAAGTTATGCATAGATGTACATGAAAATAATTCACGAATACATTTTTGACATTAGGGATCATCCTTAGCCAAATAAAATAAAACATCACTTTACGTGCTCCCGGGCAGCTGCATGCTTCCACATTCATGGTAAGTTGTTACATTACCACCGGCTCTATCACTGGACCTTAGTCCTATCATAGTATGCGTGAGAGGGGACAAACGGGTGAGAGGGGACAAATGGAGTGAAGAGGAAAATGGAACAAGTAAGGTGTTCACAATAATTCCTTGCAACAAACATCCATTTCAACTATCCTTTGCAAATTAATTTGCTATTTCTATTGTGTTTTTGCACTTGTGCATTGGATATGCCACATTGACAGCTTTCTTAAAGTATATACGTAAAAAAAAAGATCATGCAGTCTAAGGATGTGAATCTCAATGCAAAGTTGCCAGTTCATAGAAACGGAAATTTCGAATTAAGAAATATCTATATTTGTAATATGGGGAAAAATTACTATAGAAATCATGATCTGACTTGGATATTCCACTTCCACCAAATTTTCCGAAGGAATGTATTTAATTTTCATTAGTTGTTGATGGAAATGATTGACATAAATTAAGTTGTTAAATGCATCCCTTAGTATCATAACTTGTGAATGTACTATTCTAGCCCTTTTTTTTAATTCTGTAAGAACATCAATTTATTCAAAGTATAACTTACAGACCATACCATTTAAGTATATATCCTTTAAAGAATGTTAAATAAATTAATCCTTTTCACTTATTTTCATTTAAGAATATATTCTTTTTATAGGGTTGAATATGAATTTTGTAAATGCCACATAATTTAAGATAGTACACTCTAAGAACCTACTTTTGCAAGGCCACACATGAAAAAATTTAACTAGTTATTTTGGTAGGAATGCCTAAAATGTGATGCCATTAATGAGTATGAGCTGGTTCATTGTTGGCTTTATTTGTCCCCTTCTGCCTCTCCTCCATACCATCCTAGTGTGGACCATTATATATTTCCTTAATTGATAAGAAAAACACCATTGCCTCCTTCTCCATTTCTATCCAGTGCTTCAAATCTAGCAATCCTTCTTTTCTCCCTTCCTTGATCCTTCCCCACCTGCCATGGCCTCAGATCCGGTGATAATACGTGATATTTTTTACCGTTTGGTCTTGTTTCTTCAGCTTGATACTTCCATTTCCATGGAGATAACCGCGTTTTGGTTGTGGCTCGAGGGAAATTATGACCATACTGATTATCTTGAGCGCATAGACTCATTTGATGATGATCACTTTCAGGCAATTGCTTTTGTGGCCAAAAGTTTTGTCGAAACCCTAAATCTAGACCACTGTGATTTAAGCAATACAAGAAGTCCCTTTCAACAAGAAGCAATTGAAGGAATTGCTTTCTATCTCAACAATGTTTGCTACAAGGCCTTAAAAGATCTTCATGGACACGAAGAGACGGAGGAGTTTCCAGATCAGATATGTCGAGACAATGAAGGAAACTTGAATGATCAAGTTCCTTTGAGCACGGTAAGAGAAAATTCGATCTATAGCTTTGTTAACAGTTTGTGAATCATCTATTCTAATTTCCCCATCCATCTGTAGGACGATCTTCTATCCAAGATCAAATCTCTGTATGCAAACAATCAAGAAAATCATGGAGAAAGCTCTAGTTATAGAAGCATCCAGTATCCAAGAAACCATATCCTCCAAGATACAAAAGTGGCAATAGACGAGTATGCATCATCTTTGTGTTTGGTGTCATTCTTGGATAACCTGAGTTTAAGGGAGAAGCATAGTGATCCAGTAAGAGTACCATTGTTCTTATGTAGTGGTTTGATTGTGTAGTCACTGAATATTGATTATGTAGTCATTGCATTTATGTAGTGATTTGTTGATGAGATTTAATAGCTTCTATAAATCTAGCCAACCTTATATATGTTATTTCCTTGCAGGTAATACAACAACCTTCTGATGTTCCAAATGATGAAAGAACTTTATTTGTGACTTTCTCCAATGGCTACCCGTTGTCAAAAGATGAACTATACGATTTCTTCATGAGGTAATTATTGATTATAAAACTTCACCCATATGTATATGAGGAGCAGCTAGCATGGTAGGTAACATCCGATAGCTAGTTATTAATGATGTATTGAGTTTTTTTCTACTTTATTGGATTGGTCAGTCAAATTTCTAAACTAAGTACAAATTGAGTTTTGTCCTAAATTTTTTATGTGATATATAAGACTATGTGATGATTTGTGAGAAAATGTATAGGTTTTCATCGCAGTAATTGAAAATAAATAAAAAAACATTGACACATAAATAAATTGTGTAACTGCAGAAAAGGAAGACAACGTATTAGATTAGGAAATGATATTTTGTCATATGTTACATATGCGGTGTGCCATAGACTTGTCATATACTTCTAAATGACTGAAGAGGTATGAAAGTACCGATTTAATCTAGGTTGATTAAAGTCCATGCTATATAAGTATCAAAACATCATAACATATATATCTAGCTGAAAATTGATTAAGAAAAATTAAGTGACCTAAAATGGACCACCTTCAGTTGTATGAATGAATAGTCATTCAGACACATGTTTAAATGATAACTAATTTAAATGATGTTGCTATATCAAGAGTAACTCATTATTTGTAACATCAAATGTTTGCTCCAGTTTCATTGACAAGAGCAATGTCTGATATATTATCATTGCCTAATATATTATCATTGTGCTAATTTTGCTGCCATCTCGTAAAGATGAAAAAAATTCATAATATTATATTGTCATATTTTTGTTTCGATGGGGTTTATGACATGTGGGGGCTAGAAAATAAGCAAAGTTTTATCTCACAGTTCATGGGTCCCACATGGTAGTTCGGTGGTGGTGGTAGCAGACTCACCACTACCACTACCATCTTTTATATAAGTATAGAAACATAAAAAATACATATTAACAAAAGAAAATTAACATTATTGTTAAATGTGGCTATTCATGGATAGCTAAACACATGTAAGTGGTCTATGTTGAAAAAATTTCCTCCATGTATTTGTGAAGGCCCACAAAAGATCCTGATAACATAAAAAAAAGGTAAAACAAACATATTTGTACCATTATGCCTACAACAAATTGGTGATACTGAAGTAGATATATATCTTCCGTGAAATGTAGAAATTTTCTTTGTATCCAAAGATGAAGACATTCCTTGTAGAATCACTACTATAAATATTTTATTTAACTCAAGTAGCTAATATGCAAAGACAATGCACAGCTTATCCATTTATGCGGGTTGACTTGTTTGGCTGTCTAGTAACTCAAATTTATGGATGCCATTGTTTAATACTACAGGCACTACGGAGATATTGAAGATATAACCATAGAAGAGCCACCTGAACCTAGGCCACCACTCTTTGCACAAGTCACGTTTTACTCGCAATTGACACTGCTCCGTGTCCTTGATGGCAACAAGAGAGTCAAATTCATGACAAGAGGGAAGCATCTGTGGGCTCGACAATTTGTGCCAAAGAAAAAGAAGTCAAAGAATGATGAGGCAAACCTGATTGACTAAGTACTGGAGTACTTATGTTTTAAGCATATTGGTTGGAACAAACTCTGCACTTCTAAAACTTATTATCATCCTTATGGATCTTGTTACCCTGTTGTAACCATACCTTTATGGTCATGGTCCTGAACTTCTATTTTGTATTGTCATAACAACTTAAATTTGTACTTGCCTTTAGAACATTTTGTTTGGAATCATAATTACCATGTGGTTGCTATTTTGTGATGGTGTTTAGTTGATGTAGAAAATCTAGTAACCTGTGATGATTTCTTAAAGAAATATGGTAAGTTTCTAATTTCAAGTAGTTCCCACTACTTGGAAAATAGGGAGGATGGCCATAGATCACCTTTAATATTTGCCATATCAATCACTTTTTATTAGTTTTGCTATTCACTAGTTTAGCTAATTGTGCAAAAACTTTCCAATAATTCTCTTATAGGAATTTTATGGTGCAGTAGTAGAAGCAAGGGGTACTGAACTATACATTGTAAGGTCAATTCATTTAATTTTTTTTTGTCCCGGTTAGTGATTGCTAGTCTTTATTAGTAGATGCTTTTGTTCGTAAGTCAAAATAGTCAATGAATTCAATCAATAACACATGCAAGAAAATATCTATACTATCTATATAGTTGATGCCAACTAACTCCTAAAGCTCAACATGTAAGTGTGCCACATCATCATCCACTAACATTTACTCCCTCCGTTTTATATTATAAGTCGTCTGACTTTTTTCTTACTTAAAATTCTTTAGGTTTATAGAAAAAGTGAGCAACATTCACTACACCAAATTAGTTTTATTATATTTAACATAGAATATATTTTGATACAATGTTTCCTCAGTATTGAAAATGTTACTGTATTTTGCTATAAACTTGGTCAAACGTAAAAAAGTTTGATTAAGAAAAAGTCAAACGACTTATAATATGAAATAGAGGGAGTATTATCTAGAGTATTTTAAATAACATGCAAGTGTGCTACATCATCACCTAGTAACAATTATTATCAAGTGTATTTTAAATATAATTGTCGACATCTTATACCGCGACTATGCTATCTGGAAGTATCATGATTGTTGGTGCTAGGGTATGCACGAGATTGAGGTAAAAGAGATGGGAGATAGAGTTTTTTAATATAGGTTCGGGCCCCTTCTATGACAGGTAATAGCTAGCCCTACTCTTGTTGGCCAAAGGCGGTGTTGCCTTTATATATCAGTATCACTTGAGTACAATATTTAGGATGACCTAATCTAGGTGACATCTGGTGTAGTCTTTATAGATTATCCTCGAATATGAACTCGACGAGATTGAAGGTAGCGCTAGATCCCTCATGTCGATCTTTGTGGCACCAGTTTGGGTATGTCTAGGCTTTCCTTGGATTGTCTACATTTGTATTGGCTTCTCTTGGCTTGTTGGCATGTCTCCTCTCCTCCTAGGGGGTCTTGTATTTATACCTTCAGATGTCCCATTGTCCAAGTAAAACTAAGGAGACAAATATGGATACGATCCGAGTAGTCTTTGTAGTGTCTGAATAGAACTCTATTTTTCCTTCCTTATCCGGAACATCTTCTGTGTATAAGGCATGATTCCATATAAGACTTGATATATGGTGGGCCCCGTTGAGCCCAACCCAAGGCTATTGGGTATGCACCAGTGCAATGCAACACTGGGCTAGGCCTTCACAAAAGATCCCTGCAACTTTGTCGCGTGGTCCGTCGCCCACCAACTTAGATACCACCAACCAATCAACGGCAACGTAACCCCCACCACACCAGACCGACACCCCTTCATTGGTCGACTTCCAGTCCTACCACTGGCAAGACCGTTGCTACACCAACACCCTCTAGTACCCCGCCACAATCCACTGTGCGATGACCCAGGCTGCCTCTACCATGCCGCCCACTAGGCTCCTTGCCGAGTCCAACCCAGCAGAACCCGAACAGAGGCACGGCGTTGTCTTGGCAACCCGAGCCTTCCCCTATGGACTAGACATTGCCTCCACCCTGCAAGAAAGCTCCCCACAAAGGATGGGGAGAGCTCCTCAAATAGAGGCATTGCCGGCTAGCCACTAGGGAGACGACCCCACTACTAGCACACTCCACCCCATCGCCACTCCTCTCCTAGGCCTCCTCCAACTCCCGCCGCTCACCCATGCCATTGTCGCTTCAAGGCCACCATTACCATCCCGTCCCCGGCAACAAGCACAATAGGGGAGGGGGGGCATGCATCAATGCCACCACACCCAGTTGTCATCAAACCTGCTCCATCTAATCCGCTCAGTAGCCTGCAATACTGTCGATGGCCTGAATGGGGGGTCCGCCTCGCACTGTGCATCATGCCATCAACGCCATAGGGCCGGCACTGCCACTATCCCTAGCAACCAACGCTCGTGGCCACAGAGGAGAGGGGTAATTGGTGTGGTACTTTGCAATTCATGTTTTGATATGATCATGGGGCCAACAACAACACAAAGAGGACCTCTTATTTGCAGTCACATATGGTTCATCCTAGGATGGTAGGACTAATGGCTTCGGACTAATGAGGGGCATAAATACTAGCAGGAGGCCATAAGATTCCTTAAAAAATAACAAAAGGTGAAGGATATCATAAGTCCACAACAAGCCAAACCAAAGATAAAAGAGGAATGTTTGCATCTGATATGAATTTATTCAGTGGTGAAATTTGACAAATAAATTGTAGAAAAATGATTCCAATTCAAATTAAATAATCTAGTATTTGAATAAATATGTTATGTATTCACTTCTACACAAAATTTATACTTTTCTAGGGGATATTATTATGTCCTATGAGGCTTTTAATTTGGTTCAATTGTGTTTATATAAGATGACAATTGATAACACAAAATTTTAAGTTCTATGCACCTAGTTGACAATAACATCCGTAATGGACTGTAAAGTACTATTGACGGGTAATACACTAACTATGGTATTTGTGTATATAGGGTGCGGATGATATGAGTGTCAGACCTACAACCAAAGAGACAAGAGATAGAACTTTTTATATAGGTTCCGACCCAAGGTGTGGGTAATAGTCCTACTCCTATTTTATATGTATTGCTTTTCAGTAATCACACTGAGTACAAGTATGTGGATGTGAATAATAAACTAGCCTACTTGACTAAGTCGGTGAGATGAGATCTTGGCGATGTGGTTAGTAGTGGATTACGGGGTTCCTTCAAATGTTGACTCGATGTGGCTGATGATGTCATGTGGATTGATTCAATATTTGATGCGAGACCTTGTAACCTGTAAAGTGCCCCTTGTCCAAGTAAAATTCAGGAGTCATGGTAGGATATGACCAACAATTTTGTTTTGTAATAAATGCGAGATTCCTTATCAGCTCAGCTGCATATCCTGTATTAAGGGATGTTGGAGGCATGTCACGAGGGCCTTCGATCGGACCTGCCAAAACCACCAAACTCATGAGGCGTCGGCTGAATCCAAGGGGTGCGCCTAATGTGAAGCCACAGGGCGAAGCTCTTGAGCGAAGTCGAACGACGAAGACCAAAGGGTTCTCCATCAAGCTCACCATCCGGCCGAATCACCACTAAGGGCGAAGGCCATAAGGCGAAGTAAGAGGCCTTCGCCCGAAGTAGAAGATGCTTTCGGCTAAGGGCTTGGGAGGCCCTGCGGCCCATGGAGGCCTTTCGCCATTAATGGGCTAGCCCAAGAGGATCGCCTTAGGGCCCATGGATACAAAAGACATTGTATACCCACACTAATATTCCTATCATAAAAGTAATCATGTAAATTCCCCTTGTATTAACTAAACCTATACCTGGCCAAATGGGCCGTGTCAAGCCGGGCCGGCCCAAGCACGACCGCACTGTAGAAGGCCCAGGCTCGGCATGGCACGCCGGCCTGTGGGCCGTGCCGGCACGGCCCGTTTACCCATGCCGTGTCTGGGCCGACGCCTTAGCCCGTGGGCCAGCACGGCACGGCACGTTTACTGTAGAGGGCTGGCACGGCACGGCCCGGCCCACGAGCACGGCACGGCACGGGAGCAGCCGAGGGTAGGCACACCGCGCACGTGGCGCCAAGCGGCTGAGCCGCCGAGGGCAGCCGCGGGGCCAGGCGGCAGGAAGCGCGCGTCGCTGCGTTCGCGCATGGCGCGTGGCAAGCGGCGTCGCGACGTGTCGCTGGGAGGCTGGGTCGCTGCCTCGTTGGGAGCAGCCGAGACGGCGAGACCCCGTACGGCGGCCGAACAGCTAGTCAAACGACGAATGCGAGAGTGCCACGTGTCCCCCAACGGCTAGTGAGCTAATCCAACGACCGCTGTTTTTGAGAAGTAGCCGTTGGAGTGCAAAAAAATGGAAAAAAATTCGAAAAAAATATGAAATTTATTTCTATAAATAGGACACCCACCGGAGCATTCTGAATCATCCATACCTCCCATTTTGTGCTCTGTTGTGCTCTTTCGTGTGATAGATCGATTTTTTGATTTAGACAAAATTTGACCAAATTTTGTCTAAAATCAAAAATAGTTTGTGACTAAAAATAGTGCATACAAGAGGTGTAAAGCCAAGCAAATGTGGTAAGAAAGAAGTACGTCATATATTCAATTTTATGTTATGCGAATAAATATTCTAAAATTTGTTTATGTTGTTTTAAATTTTCAGAATGGACGATTCGAACATTCCATCGTTCACGTTAGGTGATTTCGACCCTAACTACGTGTCGAGGTCATTCCCAACTAGTGAGTATGATGCCACCGGATCGGCTCCAACACCACCAGTTATGGAGCCACCGGCGGGTTCAGAAGCATCCGGCACTATGAGTGGGAGTGCATCGACGAACACCGGCTCAAAGAGATCAAGAACTTCCGGTGTTTGGCAACATTTCGATGAGGTGGCCATGACAGGCCCTGATGGAAGGCAGGTAACATTCGCGAGATATAGAATATGCAAAAATAAGTTATCTGCAAAATCATCTGGTGGAACAGGACATTTGAAGCGGCATGCCGAGGCTTGTGCAAAGAAGCAAGGAATCCAACTACGACAGCAACAACTACTACTAAATCCTGATGGTACGGTACGTACGTGGGAGTATGATCCTATGGTAGCTCGAGAAAATCTTGCCCGTTTAATTGCTAGACAAGATTTACCCTTGAACTTTGGTGAGAGTCCTGCATTTGAAAATTACATAAAAAATTCTCATAATCCTAGGTTTCAAGCTGTTAGCAGACAAACCACAACCCGTGATTTGAAAAATGTCTATGACAAAGGTTATGAATCACTGAAGGAATTATTTAGTACATGCACCTTTTCTGTCAGTGTCACCTCAGACATATGGAGTAGTAGGGCTAAAGAGGATTACCTTAGTGTAGTTGTACATTTCATTGATGATGATTGGCAAATGCAAAAAAGAGTTCTTGGCTTAAGGTTAATTGATGTTTCACATACTGGTGAAAATATAGCAGAGAGAATTCGAGAGGTTATTGATGAGTTTAACCTTGCAGATAAAATTTTTGCTGTAACAATGGATAATGCATCTGCAAATTCTAGGGCCATGGAAATTCTACAACCATTATTTTGTATTTATGCTCAATCATTTCTTCTGCATCAGCATTGTGCATGCCATATCATTAATCTAATTGTTAAATGTGGGTTTAAGAGAGTTAATGTACACATCGACGCTGTTCGTCAAGCAATCACGTGGTTAACTGCTTCAAACCCACGGATTGCACAATGGAAAAGGTATTGTTGTGCATCGGGTGAGCCCCCACGTAAGTTTTTAACCGATGCAGACCATCGGTGGAATGCCACTTATTTTATGTTAAAGGTTGTATTACCTTACAAGGATTTACTTACTGTTTTCCTTCAAACACGTAATGGCCCAAAAAACAGTGACGGCCAGCCAATACTGACTGATCATACCTGGCACATTGTTGAAAGGTTCAATCAATTTCTTGAAACGTTTCATGACTGTACTCTTCTGTTATCTCAAGTATATTATCCAACAGCTAATTTAATTTTGCATAATATTCTTGAAATTGCCACTTTGTTGAAAGAGTATGAAAATGATGACCTTTTAATGCCCGTTGTCTTTAATATGAAACAAAAATATCTTAAATATTGGAAAGACATCCCCATGTTGTATTCTTTTGCATTTATTCTTGATCCTAGGGGAAAATTACGGGGATTCCTCAATATTCTTTCACTTATTGGAGATATTATTAATGTTGATTATTCTACCTATTATGCTGATGTCAAAACTAAATTCTATGAGGTATTTCGAAAGTATGAATTAAAGTTTCAGGGAGATCGCTTGCAAAGACCCCCACCTGTCCCTGCAGCAGGTAAGAACAAATTACAGTGGAGCAGAATTTGGGGCGGTTCATCTTCTAGCCATGGTGGTGGTACCAGTTCATCAGCAGCAAGTGGGGATGCTAGATCGCATGGTCCTGCCGAAGAGTTGTCCAACTATTTGGATAGCGATGCCATCAGGCATGAAACGTCAGACTTCAACGTACTCGGGTGGTGGAATGATCACAAGATGTCATATCCTGTGCTATCAAAACTAGCACGGGATGTGTTGACGGTGCCCGTATCTTCGGTATCCTCCGAATCAGCCTTCAGTCTATGCGGAAGAATTATCGAGGATAGGAGAACAAGTCTGAGCAGCGATCATGTGGAAATACTATTAAGCGTCAAAGACTGGGAACTAGCTGCAGAACATGCCCAATACACTGCTGACAACCAAGAATTGGCCGCACAGTTCGAAAACCTTTATTTAGATGACGAACAATTAGAGTAGCTAGTTTATATTTTTTAAGTATTGACTTGTTGGATGTACTCTTTTCTTTGTCATGGTTTTCTCAAATATGAGTTTTTACATGACAAAGTTTTTAACGAGGCAGCATGTATCATGTAAACATCAATAAAGGTCATTACTCCTTTTTCCCCATATTTTTCTAATATTTTTCTAAGTCTAATTATTTTTCTATTTTTCTCCAACTATCCATTAATTTTCTCTTAGCTTAGTTAACTTTCGGACCTTTCTCTTTGATTTGAATCGTTCCACTGACAGGCGATAGACACACGGACAGAGGCAAGTCACTGAGTCAGCAAGTCCAGCGCCACGTGTCGCCCTTCGGCCGGCCGGTCCCGCGGCCCCGGCCGCTCGCTCCCGCGTGCCGCGTCCAAAATTTCAGCAGCGCGCGCGTTGTCGGCGTTGTCGCCTTGCCTGCGGTCGATCGTGCCAACGGGCCGACCATGGCCCATGGGCCATTGACGTGCCCGTGCCGGCACGGCACGGCACGGCACGACGTTCCCTCGGGCCGTGCTTGGGCTGGGGAGTAGGCACGTGGGCCGGCACGGCACGGCCCGCTACAGGAGTCGTGCCTAACGGGCCGTGCCCTAGCGGGCCATGCCACCGGTGTGCCCATGCCGTGCTAGGCCGGGCCGCCCGTTTGGCCTAGTATAACTAAACCCTAGAGGGTATGTGCATGTACTAAGACTATAAATAGCTCCCTAGGGCCATGTAATGAGGGGATCCCAAAAACTTTTACCAATTAATATATTGCTTTACTATTCAAACAACTCACCGAGTGAACGATGTCTTTCGACAACAAGTGATATATTTCCTTATAAAATTCAATATGCGTTATTTTTGGTGAGATAAGTGTATATATATGGGTTATCCCCCACTTACTACACTAAGAAGTACTCTCCTGGGAAAAAAATATTTGTTGTTTAGTACATGATTTTGGTCAGAATTTTGAACCTTTGACCAGGTCTCATTCATAAATCGGGAAAATAACATGTACTATGGCTGGATCTGGACGAAGCAAGCCACAAGCCTGGCCAGCAACCACCTGCTGCCTTCAGCCCTTTAGCTCCCCCAACCCCAGGCTCAATTTCAGCTGGCAAGTTTGTCCATGTTGTCTCGCTTTTTCTCCTTTCAAGTGTAGCAAAGAGGGCACTTTAGCACGGCCATTTCCACCCTACGGGCTGAGCATGGTGAGGGAGGTGGCCAACTGAGAGCAAGCGAATTTGTGGGGCGACAACTATCGGTTGATTGGTGGTGAGGATGTCCTAATCTAATAGGATGGAGAGAGGGGAGGGAGAGATAAGGTTAGGAGATTGATAGTAGGCTCATCGTCTTTCTATCTATTTGTTCACTAACTAGACGAAAACCATCCTTTTTTTTTGGGGGGGGGGGGGTTGCGGTGGTAACTGAATGGTTTGAAGAAGCGCAATAGTTGAGGAGGGTAAGGCTTATCCCTCTAAGGTTCATGAGCTTTGGCCGTCAAAAATATGATCCCACAAGGAATTGCATGAAATAAATGCAAGAAAACTGCATGAGAAAATTCTATGGATGGAGTGCATGAATACATAGTAATAAGAAAATAGAGACGGTTTTTTTCCTAAGAGGTCGGATCTCATGTTAAAATTTCTCAAAATCTTGATGTTTGCAGTCAATCCAATGTAATTCATAAGATTTTTTATATCTACATTGAAATTTTTTTCCGACGGGATTAAATTCCTCTTAGAAACTTTGTTTCAAAGGAGCCCCCACGAATTCGAAAGAAAGAAATTATGAAATTTGAGATGTTTGGGTCACATAAATGTTATGAAAAAGGGAACACAACAACCAAAGTAAATGAAAATATCTTTGTAAGTTGGATATTATTTTTTTTATCCTGTTTGAAAAGCTTAAGATTAAGATTATAAGAAGCAGTTTGTAAGGGCACGTCTAACGCTAAGTTGCTTAGGAAGGTGCTTCAAAAATGATTAAACTAAGCACTGCACTTAAGAGCCTGATGGTCCATTGCTAGGGAGTTGGACAGACGCTTGAAATAATGGGTTCCATCTGTAGCATCCGTGCAAGCACCTCCCAAGCATCGGCGCCGCACGAAGCAGCGGCCTCCTCCGCTAAGCGTCTCATTGATCTTACGTGGTTGTTTTTTTTATAAGCGTCTCCTTTTAGCTGCGTGTTGGAGGTGTCCTAAGAAGTCAACTGGTGAGAATCTGAAAAATGTGGGATTCCCAGCTTCTGACTTTTAGTTTATTTTCTAGATTTTAAAAGTACATATTCCTTCAACTTCAAATAGCCGGGGTGAAAATCTAGATAGTTTAGAGGAGTTTCTGCCAACTGGAGATTAGAGATCCTAAGAGAAGCCGCATCTATCATAAGCTCTCCAATCATACCCACCTTTGAAAGTACATGATTTTTCACCTTAATTTAACTCTTTAATTTGTTCCAAACCAGGTCACTGTAAAAAAATTGCAAACGAAACCAAACCTCCACAATTACTTCAAAATTTCATGGATCGAAAGATTCACAGTGATCAGCATCTCACAGAAATACTGTGATTAGTCATCAATAATATACTCTTTCTCCGTAGAACTGCCGTGGTTAGTCGTCGATGGCCTGAAAATTGTCTAGTGGAGCCAAGCCAACACCAAAAAAATGTGAAAAAAATGGCAGCAGCCTAACAAATCCACCAGTGGCCGTCCGTCCTCCGGCCTGCAAGCTCCCCCAACTGGCGAGGGCTCGCCGGACTCCGACGATGGCCGCGCGGGCGCCACCTCGCCTCCGCGCGTATCCCCTCGCCCTCTTCTTCCTCCCTGTGGCGCTGCTCGGCGTGCTCGCCGGCGCCGCCCCCATCCGTGGCGACCTGCGTCGTGTGGTGGAGGTCGAGGGCGAGCCGAGGTCGGTGGTGTGGGCGGTGCAGCTGTCCGACCTCCACCTCAGCGCCTTCCACCCGGAACGCGCGGCCGACTTCCGCCGCCATGTGGGCGGCGCCCTCGCCATGGTCAACCCCTCCCTCGTCCTCATCACCGGGGATCTCACCGGTATGCTCCAGCTGCTGCCTTGCTCATCTCTTGATGTGCTTGCAGAATTGGTATGAACTATGAACTAGGGAGATTCAGGCATTCAGGCCCCGGTCTGAATTTTGAATTTTTGACAGAGGAAGTTTAGGTCCATTGTGGTTGTGGGTGGCCTAGATTTTGTGATAATTGTATGTTTGGTATCACATCTTTTTTCCTGTTTTGCATATTATTGGTCAAGTTTGTTTGTGCTAGGCCAAGAACCCATTTAGATATATTCCATAAGGGAGTACCTATGCATCTTTCGAAAGATTTTTATAATCATATCACACAGATTTTTAATCTTTAGATTAAAATCCAATGGACACATTAAAATGCAAAAAGCAACTAAGAAACACCATAATGGACACTAAATTACCATATCTTCAAGAAAAAGACCAAATCCAATATAAATTTCAAAACTTACATGCGAAGATTCAAAAATTACACCGTAACTTACAAAAGTTATGGTGTAAGTTTCATAAATTACACTGTAATTTACAAGAAAACACACTGTAAATTTGAGTGAGAAAATCGAGTGAGAGATAAGAAGAAATCTTTCGAGTGAGATATAGCAAAATCGATTCCATAATTTTGAAAGTGGTACTAAAATCTGACTCATGGTGGCAAAGAAGAGTGAAGTTTTGTGAATTGAGAAGCCAGCAAGAGGAAAACCTGGTGCATTTGAGGGCACTCTTAATTGGCATAATTATTCTCTGGTAGATAATTTTGATGGAATAGAAATTTGGTCATAAGTCCCACATCTGTACTCCAATTTTCATAAGCCCCACATCATTCAAAATGACAAATTTACAGAAGATGGATTTGGTTTATTTTAGGCATTGATTTAAAAAATTGTCTGTTTACCATGTTGTGCTCAGATGCAAAAAGTAAAGATTTGTTATCATCAAGACAAGAGAAGTCTGAATGGTTGGAGTATGAAGAGTTGATTGACGAAGTTGTTGGCTTAAGTGGGCTGAACAAGGAAATATTTTATGATTTAAGAGGTAATCATGATTCATATGGTGTTCCTGAGGTTGGTGGGATGTTTGATTTCTACGAAAAGCACAGTATTAATGCAAGATTAGGACGGACAGGTAATGTCCAAAGCATAACATTACAGGTTTGTTCTAGTAAATCATGTTATGCAGTCAACCTTGCCATATAACTTAATTATTGCCAGTTCAGTCAGAGCATGGCTTCGTATAATTTCAATATAGGTTTGTTTGAATTTGTTAAGTTGGTATTATCTTACTCATTATTTAAAACATGCAGAATAGTGGTTGGAAGCATCTATTTGTTGGATTCGACAGTGCAGCAAGTATTGGTCTACGAAGCCCTGCAAATGTATTCGGGCAACCAACAGATCAGTTACTTGTTGAATTAGATGCAGCCCTTTCACAGTGGGATAATTACTCTTCAACTTCTGCAGTAACAAAGGTTACCTTTGGACATTTTCCTATGTCCTTTTCATCATCAACAACTTCAGGTGGAAGCCTCAGAGATGTATTTCTAAAGCATGCATTGTCAGCTTACTTATGTGGGCATCTTCATACTAACTTTGGAAGAAACTTGAAGCGTCATCATAGATCTGACAGAAATCATCTTTCTGCAAAACAATATTACCAAACTAATATGCATGAAGGCACATCAACATCCATAGGCAGTAACAACTGTTCCACGACAACAGAATCTGTTGCAGAATTCTGGGAGTGGGAAATGGGTGATTGGAGAAGTGCCCGGAGCATGAGGATCCTAGCAATTGATTCTGGCCATGTCTCATATACTGACATAGATTTCAGATTTGGCTCTATGGATGTGATCATAGTACCCACCTTTCCATTGGATTCTCGATTTATGCAAAGACTTTCTACACCTCATGATTTGAACTGCCAAGCAAATAGCACCAGTCATTTTGGGATGGTAAGAACACTAGTCTTCTCAAAATATAAGATTATAGCTGTCTCAGTAAAAATATACGATTCATTTTCTGGTAGCCATCATCTAGTATTGGAAAAAGACATGGAAATGACTAGTGGTGAGGGAGCAAGAGGTGCTATGTATACAGTCCCATGGAACTGGAAAGCATATGTAGATGAATCGCCAGATCGGTACTGGCTCCAGATAGAAGCAAAGGATTTGACCGGGAAGATATATTATAGCCAACTGAGGCCATTTTCTGTGAATGGTTTAACTGCAAAAGTTAGGTGGACTTGGAAGGAGTTCCGTGTGATGGGTTGTCAGTGGGGTCAGCTATATCAACCAATTATGTGGTCTACGCTTGCATTTCTTTGTTTGCTGATTCTTATTCCTCGCACATTGCTCATGTTATATGAGAACCACATGTTGAAATGCCGTAGTTCGAAGACGGCTGCAGGTAGTTCAGGACGCCATCTGCTGATCAGTTTTGAATATTTTGCTGCTGAGCTGTCAAAGATGTATTCTGTATGGTCTGGGATGTTGATATATTTGTTATATCTGGTCTTCTTCCCATGGTTTGCTGGCAACGCTGTTACAGAAAATCACAATAAAATGTATCTTTATTACAAAGGTTGGAGCACTAGTAATCTAGCCAATCTGAGTACAGCAGCGCCATATATTGGTCTGCCTGATGTGATGGTTATTGTTCTTCCTCATCTTCTATTTGTGGTTTTGCCTGCGTTTCTCATTATAGCAGCCATAGCAGCAAATAGGGCAGCATATTTGGTCCACATCTCCCACAAGGCAAAGAAGGATGATGATCACTATGAGGAAAGAAAATGCATACATCATGTTTGGATATTCCGTTGCTTTAGAAGGTTTCTTATACTTCTTTGTCTGCCAATTGCATGGAGACATTGGAAGGTATGTTTTCCTTTCAACTTGGACCCAACACTGGAAGCACATTTTCCACAATAATTCTTCTCCACATGGAAGTATTCAATTACAGCTATGGTCAATCGATCATTTCATTAGATTCATGAAGTGCTTCCTAATTTGGGAGTTGCTCTAAAAAATTTAATGTCCCTAGTGAAAATAAAAAAAGAAGTCTTTAAGAGGATATGCCTCTTGGTTATTTAATCTGTTACAATGAAAAATCTGCAGGTCATACTTAAAAACCACAAGAATTTTTTCTTCCACACTAACATGCACTTTTCTGCAGCATTGTAGGGCTATCGTTAGGGCATACGAGGCTAATCCATTCATGGATGCACCTATCTACTGCTTCGGTGTTCCACTACTTGTATGCTTAGCTATCTACAGGGCCTCAGCTATATGAGTATCTTTTTGGGTAAGCTTTAAGCAACAATTTCTTATCAAATGAGTGATTGTACTGTGGAAGATTGAATATTAGGTTAGGCATTTGTAGCATTAAGGTCTTGGTTATATAGAATGTGCAAGTCTGAAGTTGTAATGGAACATATCTGAACATGTAGAATCAGTGTTGTTTTATAACATTGCAGATCATTTGAGAGCATTCACGTAAATATGGCAGACAATTTCTGCCTGCTTTCATTCCTTCTCTTTCTGAAAATGCAGATCATTTCAATCCAAACCATTTAGATGCAAATACTAGAGCCAACCTTCTTCATTTCCATGTATTTGGATAGGCAAAGGGAAACGTATTTGTACTGGAGCAAATAATTACCTTCCTGCAAACCATTTGACTATCACATAATTTTAGGCAATTAGTGTCAGTCAGGCAAGAGTCAGGCAATTAGTTGTCCGAATTTATATTTCACACTCTCTTTGCAAATATTTGAAATTTCCACAGTTGTTATGAGTAAACAAGCTCAAGAAATACAAGATGATTTGATCAGTTTATTTGGAACAAAACAATTTTGTACGACGTGTACTGCTTACTGAAAAATTCCTGTGCTCTGTAGGCCTTAATATCTTGGAGTTCACTGCAGTAGTACGTATAGAATGTTGTTTTTCTCGAATACACAGGAGATCTGCGGACATATTAAGAAGAGAGATATTTTACGGTATTTGCATTCCAAAAAGGGTAAAGATCCAACGCTCCTCAATCACAGGTACCATGTTAAAGGTATTTAAGTATTGATATAGGTATTAAGGTACTAAGGGTAAAACATAATTTTGCTAAGAGAGTGAAAAGGTGTCATGTGGGGCCGCACCTATACGCGGAGGCGCCGAGCGCGCGACCTGCGCAGGGCCGCTGAGCGCGCCGAGAGCGCAGCCAGGGAAGCAGGCGTAATTAGTGGCTAATAGAGCCCAGTTTGGTAGGAGTCTGTTGCAGTCCTAAACTTTAGGAGATTAGTTTCCCTTTCAGTTGGAGGAGCAGGCTATTAAGCCTTGTAATCGTGATTGATCAGGCTAAGCAAGATTAAACCAATTCTCTCCCATCTCTCTCTCAAGCCGCCGGCCAGGGGGAATAACCCGACCAGCGAAGATCGGCGAGGGGGCATAACCCCGCCAGTTACCACGGACCGAGACTACGAGCTACGTAGTCGGGGTCCTGCAACCTTGGGCAAGAACGCCCTTGACAACCTGGTATCTCGGTCACGTCGATCCTCTCCCACCGTCTCAGATCAATCTTCCACTGCCACCTCTCGCCAGCCCAGCCCTCCACCCGTTTCCTCCACTGCCGTCGCTCCTGATCCTGCCACCATGACTGAACCAACAATCGCCGACGTCCTGGAGTCCCTGAAGTCCATCTCCACGAAGATGTCCGCCATGGAAGCTGATATGGCGGCCCTGAAGGAGAAGTCTGCTTCGTCGTCGGGCACCGGCGGCGGCGGCCCTCGGCCAGACGGCGCGCGGGATTTTGATCAGCCCCCGAAGCACAAGAAGTGGGACTTTCCCCGTTTCGATGGCACCACCGATCCGATGCTCTTCCTGAACAAGTGCGACTCGTACTTCCGCCAACATCGCACCATGGCGGAGGAGCGCGTGTGGATGGCGTCCTACAACCTGGACGAGGTCGCGCAACTCTGGTTCAACCAGCTCCAGGAGGACGAGGGCACTCCCACCTGGGGGCGCTTAAAGGAGCTCCTGAACCTCCGGTTCGGGCCTCCCCTCCGTTCCGCACCGCTGTTCGAGCTCTCTGAGTGCCGCCGTACCGGGACCGTGGAGGAGTACGCCAACCGATTCCAGGCGCTCTTGCCTCGCGCGGGACGGCTGGATGAATCTCAGCGCGTGCAACTCTTCACCGGCGGCCTCCTCGCTCCGCTCAGCCACGCCGTCCGTCTCCACAACCCGGAGTCCCTCGCCGCCGCGATGAGTCTCGCCCGCCAGGTAGAGTTGATGGAGTTGGAGCGCCCCCAGCCGCCCCTGCTCCAGGCCGCACAGCGCGCACCACTGCCTCCCCCGGCGGCGCGCGCGCCCCTGCCTCCCACGGCCCCGCGCCCGGCGCTCCAGGCGGCACCGGCTCCCCTGGCGCTGCCTGCGCCGCCCGTGGCCGCGCTCCCGGCTCCACCTCCGCGGGGTGCGCCCAACCAGGCCAAGCGCCTCTCGCCGGCGGAACAGGCCGAACGTCGTCGCCTCGGCCTCTGCTACAACTGCAACGAACCCTACTCCAGGGGCCATAACCGGGTCTGCCGCCGCATCTTCTTCATCGACGGCATCGAGCTCGCGGACGAGGAGCCCGCCGTTAGCGACGCGGACCAGGGCGCCCCGGTCTTCTCCCTCCGCGCCGTGGCTGGTATGCCGATCTGTGACACTATGCAGGTGCGGGTGGCCGTGGGTGCAGTGGTGCTCACCGCCCTCCTCGACACGGGCTTCACGCACAACTTCATCGCGGAGTCGGCGGCGCCGCGCACCGGCCTTTCCGTCCTCGCCAACCTGCGCCTCACCGCCACCGTCGCCAACGGGGAACGGATCGCCTGCCCCGGCGTCATACGGCAGGCCCCGATCACGATCGCCGGCGAGGCGTTCAACGTCGACCTCTACGTCATGCCCCTCGCCGGATACGATTTGGTCCTGGGCACTCAGTGGCTGGTGACCCTGGGACCGATCGTGTGGGACTTCACCGCCCGCACCATGTCGTTCTCTCGCCAGGATCGCGCGGTCTGCTGGTCCGATGTGACCGCGCGCGCTCCGCCTCTTGTGGCTGCGGTCTCGTCCCCGACCGGCCTCCTGGAGGAGCTGCTGTCCGCCTTCAGCGGCCTCTTCGCCGAGCCTACCGGTCTGCCCCCGCAGCATGCCCGCGACCACGCCATCACCCTCAAACCGGGCACGCTACCGGTGGCGGTCCGGCCATACCGGTACCCGGCTGCTCACAAGGATGAGCTGGAGCGGCAATGCGCCGCAATGATGGAGCAGGGCATCGTGCGGCGCAGCGACTCCGCGTTCTCGTCCCCGGTCCTCCTCGTCAAGAAGCCGGACGGGTCGTGGCGTTTCTGCGTCGACTACAGGGCGCTCAACGCGCTCACCATCAAGGACGCGTTCCCCATTCCCGTCGTCGACGAGCTCCTGGACGAGCTCCATGGCGCCTGCTACTTCACCAAGCTGGACCTCCGCTCCGGCTATCACCAGGTCCGCATGAGGCCGGCCGACATCCACAAGACGGCGTTCCGCACCCATGACGGTCTCTACGAGTTCCTGGTCATGGCTTTTGGGCTGTGCAACGCCCCGGCCACATTCCAGGCCTTGATGAACGATGTGCTTAGGCCGTTCCTCCGCCGCTTTGTGCTTGTGTTCTTTGACGACATTTTGATTTACAGTCGCACCTGGGCCGACCACCTGCGTCATCTCCGCGCCGTCTTCGACGAACTCCGCCGTCACCAGCTCTTCCTCAAGCGCTCCAAGTGCGCTTTCGCGGCGCCGTCGGTGGCGTACCTCGGCCATGTCGTCTCCGCCGCCGGTGTCGCCATGGATCCCGCCAAGCTACAGGCCGTGCGGTACTGGCCGCCTCCTCGCTCCGCGCGGGCTGTGCGCGGCTTCCTGGGCCTCGCCGGCTACTACCGCAAGTTTGTGCACAACTACGGGACCATCGCCGCCCCCCTCACCGCCCTCCTCAAAAAGGACGGTTTCTCGTGGTCTCCCGAGGCCTCTGCCGCCTTCGACGCCCTCAAGGAAGCGGTGACATCGGCACCGGTGCTCGCCATGCCGGACTTCTCCAAGCCCTTTGTCGTCGAGTGCGACGCATCGTCACACGGCTTCGGGGCGGTGCTGGTCCAGGACGGCCACCCGATCGCGTACTTCAGCCGGCCTGTCGCCCCGCGTCACCAGGCTCTCGCCGCGTACGAGCGCGAGCTCATCGGCCTCGTCCAGGCCGTTCGCCACTGGCGGCCGTACTTGTGGGGGCGCCGCTTCACCGTCAAGACCGATCACTACAGCCTCAAGTACCTGCTGGACCAGCGCTTGTCGACCATCCCTCAACACCATTGGGTTGGCAAGCTGCTGGGCTTCGACTTCGCGGTGGAGTACAAGCCGGGGCACACCAACGCGGTGGCGGATGCCCTCTCGCGCCGGGACACCGCAGACGAGGGGACGGTTCTGGTGCTGTCCGCCCCTCGGTTCGACTTCGTCCAGCGGCTGCGCCTGGCTCAGTCGTCTGACCCGGCCCTCGTCGCACTCCAGGAGGAGATCAGCGCCGGCTCCCGTGCGCTACCGTGGAAGCTGACGGACGGGCTGGTCACGTACAGCGGGCGGCTGTACATCCCGCCGGCATCGCCCCTGTTGCCGGAGGCCCTGCGAGCGGTCCACGAGGAGGGCCACGAAGGCGTGCAGCGCACTCTGCATCGGCTACGGCGTGATTTTCACTTCCCTAATATGAAGACTGTGGTGCAGGACTTCGTGCGCGCGTGCTCAGTGTGCCAGAGGCACAAGTCAGAGCACCTCCACCCCGCTGGGCTTTTGCTGCCGCTACCTGTGCCGCAAGGCATATGGTCTGACATCGCCATGGACTTCGTCGATGCCCTGCCGCGCGTCAAGGGCAAGTCCGTCATCCTCACCGTCGTCGACCGGTTCAGCAAATACTGCCACTTCATTCCCCTGGCGCACCCGTACTCAGCGGAGAGTGTGGCCCAGGCGTTCTTCGCGGAGGTCGTTCGGCTGCACGGCGTGCCGCAGTCGATCGTGTCCGACCGCGACACGGTGTTCACCTCAAACTTTTGGCGCGAGCTGATGCGCCTCAGCGGCACCAAGCTCCAGATGACGACGGCCTTTCACCCACAGTCCGACGGGCAGTCTGAGTCGGCGAACAGGGTGATTGTTATGTATCTCCGCTGCTTGACAGGTGACCGGCCGCGCGACTGGCTCCGCTGGCTGCCGTGGGCTGAGTACGTCTTCAACACCGCCTTCCAGTCGTCCCTGCGCGACACGCCGTTCCGCGTCGTCTACGGCCGGGATCCCCCCTCCCTCCGCTCCTACGAGGCGGGCGAGACTCGGGTCGCTGCGGTGGCGCAGACCATGGCGGAACGCGCTGAGTTCCTCGAAGACATCCGCCACCGCCTCGAGCAGGCGCAGGTGGTTCAGAAGCGCCACTACGATCAAGCTCATCGTCAAGTCTCCTATCAGGTGGGCGATTGGGCGCTCCTACGGCTCAGGCAGCGGCCGACTGCCTCCCTGCCCACAGCGGTGACAGGCAAGCTGAAGCCCAAGTTCTACGGTCCTTACCGCGTCGTCGAGCTCATCAACGAGGTTGCTGTCCGCCTTGACCTGCCGCCCCAAGCTCGCCTCCACGACGTGTTCCATGTGGGCCTCCTCAAGAAGTTCCACGGCGCGCCACCGCCGGCTTCGCCGCCCCTGCCTCCAGTCCGCCATGGCGCTGTGGTGCCCGAACCAGAACAAGCCGTCAAGACACGCTTGGCTCGCGGGGTGCGCCAAGTCCTCATCCAGTGGAAAGGTTCATCGCCTGCATCAGCCACCTGGGAAGACGTCGACCCATTCACGGCCAGGTACCCACACTTCCAGCTCGAGGACGAGCTGCGTCTCGAGGAGGGGAGAGATGTCATGTGGGGCCGCACCTATACGCGGAGGCGCCGAGCGCGCGACCTGCGCAGGGCCGCTGAGCGCGCCGAGAGCGCAGCCAGGGAAGCAGGCGTAATTAGTGGCTAATAGAGCCCAGTTTGGTAGGAGTCTGTTGCAGTCCTAAACTTTAGGAGATTAGTTTCCCTTTCAGTTGGAGGAGCAGGCTATTAAGCCTTGTAATCGTGATTGATCAGGCTAAGCAAGATTAAACCAATTCTCTCCCATCTCTCTCTCAAGCCGCCGGCCAGGGGGAATAACCCGACCAGCGAAGATCGGCGAGGGGGCATAACCCCGCCAGTTACCACGGACTGAGACTACGAGCTACGTAGTCGGGGTCCTGCAACCTTGGGCAAGAACGCCCTTGACAAAAGGGTAGAACTGTCCTCCAAATTATAATATGTACCGCGTAGGTATAACAATACGTATTAACATCTACACGGTATCAGCGTCTCTTTTGCGTGGTTTCTTGAAGATTTACGTTGTATTCGAGGCATTAACGGTATCAGCGTCTCTTTTGCGTCGTTTCTTGAAGATTTATGTTGTATTCGAGTTAAGTCGTTTACCGCGGTGTTCTTTGATGTTCCCTTTTGCGTAGATTTCTCTAGATTTACATTGTGTTGTTATAACACGTTACTGGCCTAATTATGTGAATTTTTTCTACATTTATGTTTTGTTCCAACGAACACGTAAAAACCCATACCTTAATTCTGTTGAAAATTATATTTTGTTTTCAGCAAGAGATTTATATTGTGATTCAAAAACATGACCGGTTAAAATATCACCCAAGGTTAGCATCAATTTAAATTATACATTTTATGAATTTATGATACTTGCTTCCAATTGAACATGCTATGTCAAGTTAACCAACAACATACCAACACAGGTAGCCTGACATGATCATGGTGAGCATGCTCACAAACACCCATATCATATACCCGCTAGATAAAATATGCCAGATAAACTTCATCAACAACAGCCTTTTTACAACAAAAGGTCATAGGTTCAACAACAGGCTAACCCTAATATTAGTTCAACGCATAGCATTCTGTACTATTAGCCTTTTTACATTCCAACATTGGCACATATACAACCAAAAGGACCTTAGGAGTATTCTAATATCGTCGTGAAACGTGCTTCTTTGCTGTCCGCTTTGTTAGAGCTACCTTCTTAGGAGTTTCTGCACTTGTGATATGGGTGTCTGCACAAAACTGCACAATTAAGACAAGAGAAATCAAATTGCAGCCTATATATAATGCTACATCCATAAGGCCAAACTTAACAAAAATTTATGGAGATGGATTTAGGGCACAATCAATTATTTACAAGTAGAATTTGTCTTAGCCAACTACATTGGGAAGATATAGTCAAATAGTCACAACCAATCAACAAAATAGTTGAGATGAGGACACAGCGACGATGTCTGGATTTATGCCTTGATCTTTCACGGTGCCAAACAAGAGTAGACCAAAATTAGTCTCTCACCAATAAATATATAATGTCCAATAATCACTATATGCAATCTAATTTCTATTAATTGATCAAGCTGCTAATAGATGCATGTGTGTACTGAAACTTTGACAATTCATGATTTGAACTGCCAAGCAAATAGCACCAGTCATTTTGGGATGGTAAGAACACTAGTCTTCTCAAAATATAAGATTATAGCTGTCTCAGTAAAAATATACGATTCATTTTCTGGTAGCCATCATCTAGTATTGGAAAAAGACATGGAAATGACTAGTGGTGAGGGAGCAAGAGGTGCTATGTATACAGTCCCATGGAACTGGAAAGCATATGTAGATGAATCGCCAGATCGGTACTGGCTCCAGATAGAAGCAAAGGATTTGACCGGGAAGATATATTATAGCCAACTGAGGCCATTTTCTGTGAATGGTTTAACTGCAAAAGTTAGGTGGACTTGGAAGGAGTTCCGTGTGATGGGTTGTCAGTGGGGTCAGCTATATCAACCAATTATGTGGTCTACGCTTGCATTTCTTTGTTTGCTGATTCTTATTCCTCGCACATTGCTCATGTTATATGAGAACCACATGTTGAAATGCCGTAGTTCGAAGACGGCTGCAGGTAGTTCAGGACGCCATCTGCTGATCAGTTTTGAATATTTTGCTGCTGAGCTGTCAAAGATGTATTCTGTATGGTCTGGGATGTTGATATATTTGTTATATCTGGTCTTCTTCCCATGGTTTGCTGGCAACGCTGTTACAGAAAATCACAATAAAATGTATCTTTATTACAAAGGTTGGAGCACTAGTAATCTAGCCAATCTGAGTACAGCAGCGCCATATATTGGTCTGCCTGATGTGATGGTTATTGTTCTTCCTCATCTTCTATTTGTGGTTTTGCCTGCGTTTCTCATTATAGCAGCCATAGCAGCAAATAGGGCAGCATATTTGGTCCACATCTCCCACAAGGCAAAGAAGGATGATGATCACTATGAGGAAAGAAAATGCATACATCATGTTTGGATATTCCGTTGCTTTAGAAGGTTTCTTATACTTCTTTGTCTGCCAATTGCATGGAGACATTGGAAGGTATGTTTTCCTTTCAACTTGGACCCAACACTGGAAGCACATTTTCCACAATAATTCTTCTCCACATGGAAGTATTCAATTACAGCTATGGTCAATCGATCATTTCATTAGATTCATGAAGTGCTTCCTAATTTGGGAGTTGCTCTAAAAAATTTAATGTCCCTAGTGAAAATAAAAAAAGAAGTCTTTAAGAGGATATGCCTCTTGGTTATTTAATCTGTTACAATGAAAAATCTGCAGGTCATACTTAAAAACCACAAGAATTTTTTCTTCCACACTAACATGCACTTTTCTGCAGCATTGTAGGGCTATCGTTAGGGCATACGAGGCTAATCCATTCATGGATGCACCTATCTACTGCTTCGGTGTTCCACTACTTGTATGCTTAGCTATCTACAGGGCCTCAGCTATATGAGTATCTTTTTGGGTAAGCTTTAAGCAACAATTTCTTATCAAATGAGTGATTGTACTGTGGAAGATTGAATATTAGGTTAGGCATTTGTAGCATTAAGGTCTTGGTTATATAGAATGTGCAAGTCTGAAGTTGTAATGGAACATATCTGAACATGTAGAATCAGTGTTGTTTTATAACATTGCAGATCATTTGAGAGCATTCACGTAAATATGGCAGACAATTTCTGCCTGCTTTCATTCCTTCTCTTTCTGAAAATGCAGATCATTTCAATCCAAACCATTTAGATGCAAATACTAGAGCCAACCTTCTTCATTTCCATGTATTTGGATAGGCAAAGGGAAACGTATTTGTACTGGAGCAAATAATTACCTTCCTGCAAACCATTTGACTATCACATAATTTTAGGCAATTAGTGTCAGTCAGGCAAGAGTCAGGCAATTAGTTGTCCGAATTTATATTTCACACTCTCTTTGCAAATATTTGAAATTTCCACAGTTGTTATGAGTAAACAAGCTCAAGAAATACAAGATGATTTGATCAGTTTATTTGGAACAAAACAATTTTGTACGACGTGTACTGCTTACTGAAAAATTCCTGTGCTCTGTAGGCCTTAATATCTTGGAGTTCACTGCAGTAGTACGTATAGAATGTTGTTTTTCTCGAATACACAGGAGATCTGCGGACATATTAAGAAGAGAGATATTTTACGGTATTTGCATTCCAAAAAGGGTAAAGATCCAACGCTCCTCAATCACAGGTACCATGTTAAAGGTATTTAAGTATTGATATAGGTATTAAGGTACTAAGGGTAAAACATAATTTTGCTAAGAGAGTGAAAAGGTGTCATGTGGGGCCGCACCTATACGCGGAGGCGCCGAGCGCGCGACCTGCGCAGGGCCGCTGAGCGCGCCGAGAGCGCAGCCAGGGAAGCAGGCGTAATTAGTGGCTAATAGAGCCCAGTTTGGTAGGAGTCTGTTGCAGTCCTAAACTTTAGGAGATTAGTTTCCCTTTCAGTTGGAGGAGCAGGCTATTAAGCCTTGTAATCGTGATTGATCAGGCTAAGCAAGATTAAACCAATTCTCTCCCATCTCTCTCTCAAGCCGCCGGCCAGGGGGAATAACCCGACCAGCGAAGATCGGCGAGGGGGCATAACCCCGCCAGTTACCACGGACCGAGACTACGAGCTACGTAGTCGGGGTCCTGCAACCTTGGGCAAGAACGCCCTTGACAACCTGGTATCTCGGTCACGTCGATCCTCTCCCACCGTCTCAGATCAATCTTCCACTGCCACCTCTCGCCAGCCCAGCCCTCCACCCGTTTCCTCCACTGCCGTCGCTCCTGATCCTGCCACCATGACTGAACCAACAATCGCCGACGTCCTGGAGTCCCTGAAGTCCATCTCCACGAAGATGTCCGCCATGGAAGCTGATATGGCGGCCCTGAAGGAGAAGTCTGCTTCGTCGTCGGGCACCGGCGGCGGCGGCCCTCGGCCAGACGGCGCGCGGGATTTTGATCAGCCCCCGAAGCACAAGAAGTGGGACTTTCCCCGTTTCGATGGCACCACCGATCCGATGCTCTTCCTGAACAAGTGCGACTCGTACTTCCGCCAACATCGCACCATGGCGGAGGAGCGCGTGTGGATGGCGTCCTACAACCTGGACGAGGTCGCGCAACTCTGGTTCAACCAGCTCCAGGAGGACGAGGGCACTCCCACCTGGGGGCGCTTAAAGGAGCTCCTGAACCTCCGGTTCGGGCCTCCCCTCCGTTCCGCACCGCTGTTCGAGCTCTCTGAGTGCCGCCGTACCGGGACCGTGGAGGAGTACGCCAACCGATTCCAGGCGCTCTTGCCTCGCGCGGGACGGCTGGATGAATCTCAGCGCGTGCAACTCTTCACCGGCGGCCTCCTCGCTCCGCTCAGCCACGCCGTCCGTCTCCACAACCCGGAGTCCCTCGCCGCCGCGATGAGTCTCGCCCGCCAGGTAGAGTTGATGGAGTTGGAGCGCCCCCAGCCGCCCCTGCTCCAGGCCGCACAGCGCGCACCACTGCCTCCCCCGGCGGCGCGCGCGCCCCTGCCTCCCACGGCCCCGCGCCCGGCGCTCCAGGCGGCACCGGCTCCCCTGGCGCTGCCTGCGCCGCCCGTGGCCGCGCTCCCGGCTCCACCTCCGCGGGGTGCGCCCAACCAGGCCAAGCGCCTCTCGCCGGCGGAACAGGCCGAACGTCGTCGCCTCGGCCTCTGCTACAACTGCAACGAACCCTACTCCAGGGGCCATAACCGGGTCTGCCGCCGCATCTTCTTCATCGACGGCATCGAGCTCGCGGACGAGGAGCCCGCCGTTAGCGACGCGGACCAGGGCGCCCCGGTCTTCTCCCTCCGCGCCGTGGCTGGTATGCCGATCTGTGACACTATGCAGGTGCGGGTGGCCGTGGGTGCAGTGGTGCTCACCGCCCTCCTCGACACGGGCTTCACGCACAACTTCATCGCGGAGTCGGCGGCGCCGCGCACCGGCCTTTCCGTCCTCGCCAACCTGCGCCTCACCGCCACCGTCGCCAACGGGGAACGGATCGCCTGCCCCGGCGTCATACGGCAGGCCCCGATCACGATCGCCGGCGAGGCGTTCAACGTCGACCTCTACGTCATGCCCCTCGCCGGATACGATTTGGTCCTGGGCACTCAGTGGCTGGTGACCCTGGGACCGATCGTGTGGGACTTCACCGCCCGCACCATGTCGTTCTCTCGCCAGGATCGCGCGGTCTGCTGGTCCGATGTGACCGCGCGCGCTCCGCCTCTTGTGGCTGCGGTCTCGTCCCCGACCGGCCTCCTGGAGGAGCTGCTGTCCGCCTTCAGCGGCCTCTTCGCCGAGCCTACCGGTCTGCCCCCGCAGCATGCCCGCGACCACGCCATCACCCTCAAACCGGGCACGCTACCGGTGGCGGTCCGGCCATACCGGTACCCGGCTGCTCACAAGGATGAGCTGGAGCGGCAATGCGCCGCAATGATGGAGCAGGGCATCGTGCGGCGCAGCGACTCCGCGTTCTCGTCCCCGGTCCTCCTCGTCAAGAAGCCGGACGGGTCGTGGCGTTTCTGCGTCGACTACAGGGCGCTCAACGCGCTCACCATCAAGGACGCGTTCCCCATTCCCGTCGTCGACGAGCTCCTGGACGAGCTCCATGGCGCCTGCTACTTCACCAAGCTGGACCTCCGCTCCGGCTATCACCAGGTCCGCATGAGGCCGGCCGACATCCACAAGACGGCGTTCCGCACCCATGACGGTCTCTACGAGTTCCTGGTCATGGCTTTTGGGCTGTGCAACGCCCCGGCCACATTCCAGGCCTTGATGAACGATGTGCTTAGGCCGTTCCTCCGCCGCTTTGTGCTTGTGTTCTTTGACGACATTTTGATTTACAGTCGCACCTGGGCCGACCACCTGCGTCATCTCCGCGCCGTCTTCGACGAACTCCGCCGTCACCAGCTCTTCCTCAAGCGCTCCAAGTGCGCTTTCGCGGCGCCGTCGGTGGCGTACCTCGGCCATGTCGTCTCCGCCGCCGGTGTCGCCATGGATCCCGCCAAGCTACAGGCCGTGCGGTACTGGCCGCCTCCTCGCTCCGCGCGGGCTGTGCGCGGCTTCCTGGGCCTCGCCGGCTACTACCGCAAGTTTGTGCACAACTACGGGACCATCGCCGCCCCCCTCACCGCCCTCCTCAAAAAGGACGGTTTCTCGTGGTCTCCCGAGGCCTCTGCCGCCTTCGACGCCCTCAAGGAAGCGGTGACATCGGCACCGGTGCTCGCCATGCCGGACTTCTCCAAGCCCTTTGTCGTCGAGTGCGACGCATCGTCACACGGCTTCGGGGCGGTGCTGGTCCAGGACGGCCACCCGATCGCGTACTTCAGCCGGCCTGTCGCCCCGCGTCACCAGGCTCTCGCCGCGTACGAGCGCGAGCTCATCGGCCTCGTCCAGGCCGTTCGCCACTGGCGGCCGTACTTGTGGGGGCGCCGCTTCACCGTCAAGACCGATCACTACAGCCTCAAGTACCTGCTGGACCAGCGCTTGTCGACCATCCCTCAACACCATTGGGTTGGCAAGCTGCTGGGCTTCGACTTCGCGGTGGAGTACAAGCCGGGGCACACCAACGCGGTGGCGGATGCCCTCTCGCGCCGGGACACCGCAGACGAGGGGACGGTTCTGGTGCTGTCCGCCCCTCGGTTCGACTTCGTCCAGCGGCTGCGCCTGGCTCAGTCGTCTGACCCGGCCCTCGTCGCACTCCAGGAGGAGATCAGCGCCGGCTCCCGTGCGCTACCGTGGAAGCTGACGGACGGGCTGGTCACGTACAGCGGGCGGCTGTACATCCCGCCGGCATCGCCCCTGTTGCCGGAGGCCCTGCGAGCGGTCCACGAGGAGGGCCACGAAGGCGTGCAGCGCACTCTGCATCGGCTACGGCGTGATTTTCACTTCCCTAATATGAAGACTGTGGTGCAGGACTTCGTGCGCGCGTGCTCAGTGTGCCAGAGGCACAAGTCAGAGCACCTCCACCCCGCTGGGCTTTTGCTGCCGCTACCTGTGCCGCAAGGCATATGGTCTGACATCGCCATGGACTTCGTCGATGCCCTGCCGCGCGTCAAGGGCAAGTCCGTCATCCTCACCGTCGTCGACCGGTTCAGCAAATACTGCCACTTCATTCCCCTGGCGCACCCGTACTCAGCGGAGAGTGTGGCCCAGGCGTTCTTCGCGGAGGTCGTTCGGCTGCACGGCGTGCCGCAGTCGATCGTGTCCGACCGCGACACGGTGTTCACCTCAAACTTTTGGCGCGAGCTGATGCGCCTCAGCGGCACCAAGCTCCAGATGACGACGGCCTTTCACCCACAGTCCGACGGGCAGTCTGAGTCGGCGAACAGGGTGATTGTTATGTATCTCCGCTGCTTGACAGGTGACCGGCCGCGCGACTGGCTCCGCTGGCTGCCGTGGGCTGAGTACGTCTTCAACACCGCCTTCCAGTCGTCCCTGCGCGACACGCCGTTCCGCGTCGTCTACGGCCGGGATCCCCCCTCCCTCCGCTCCTACGAGGCGGGCGAGACTCGGGTCGCTGCGGTGGCGCAGACCATGGCGGAACGCGCTGAGTTCCTCGAAGACATCCGCCACCGCCTCGAGCAGGCGCAGGTGGTTCAGAAGCGCCACTACGATCAAGCTCATCGTCAAGTCTCCTATCAGGTGGGCGATTGGGCGCTCCTACGGCTCAGGCAGCGGCCGACTGCCTCCCTGCCCACAGCGGTGACAGGCAAGCTGAAGCCCAAGTTCTACGGTCCTTACCGCGTCGTCGAGCTCATCAACGAGGTTGCTGTCCGCCTTGACCTGCCGCCCCAAGCTCGCCTCCACGACGTGTTCCATGTGGGCCTCCTCAAGAAGTTCCACGGCGCGCCACCGCCGGCTTCGCCGCCCCTGCCTCCAGTCCGCCATGGCGCTGTGGTGCCCGAACCAGAACAAGCCGTCAAGACACGCTTGGCTCGCGGGGTGCGCCAAGTCCTCATCCAGTGGAAAGGTTCATCGCCTGCATCAGCCACCTGGGAAGACGTCGACCCATTCACGGCCAGGTACCCACACTTCCAGCTCGAGGACGAGCTGCGTCTCGAGGAGGGGAGAGATGTCATGTGGGGCCGCACCTATACGCGGAGGCGCCGAGCGCGCGACCTGCGCAGGGCCGCTGAGCGCGCCGAGAGCGCAGCCAGGGAAGCAGGCGTAATTAGTGGCTAATAGAGCCCAGTTTGGTAGGAGTCTGTTGCAGTCCTAAACTTTAGGAGATTAGTTTCCCTTTCAGTTGGAGGAGCAGGCTATTAAGCCTTGTAATCGTGATTGATCAGGCTAAGCAAGATTAAACCAATTCTCTCCCATCTCTCTCTCAAGCCGCCGGCCAGGGGGAATAACCCGACCAGCGAAGATCGGCGAGGGGGCATAACCCCGCCAGTTACCACGGACTGAGACTACGAGCTACGTAGTCGGGGTCCTGCAACCTTGGGCAAGAACGCCCTTGACAAAAGGGTAGAACTGTCCTCCAAATTATAATATGTACCGCGTAGGTATAACAATACGTATTA